TATACTAGAACTCAACAAATAAATAGATTGTTGGTAACTAGAGCTGGGTTTCTTACCATAAAAGAAAGGCATTATAAATAAGGAAAGGCAAGGAGGGTACACTAACCCTGTAGTGAATGGGAATCTGAAGAGACTCATGAAATGCTAATGTATCTCTCTGTGAGTGAGCATACCACATTCATTTCCAGGCTGTGTTTGCAGAGAGGGCCTAAAAGCAGTAAGATCTTAATAAATCAATGAGCATATTTAGAGCCCAGGTCTTGGTTTCTAAATATTGTTCTCTAATTAAAGAAACCAGGAGTCCTTGAAGAAGTGGTTGACACAGCACTGGGAGAGGGAAAACACAAGATGAGTGAGGAACATCTTATGGTGTCAAAGGGGTGGGAGGCAGGTGTGTCCAAAGAATACAGGAGTTACCTGATGGAGCTATGAATGGCCAAAGGTGAAGCAATCTGAGGAACAAAAAATGACAGTACAGATTATAACCCATATAATAAATATCCATGAGTCCATATATAATCAAATTAAATAAGCAGGGAGAAAGGATAGCTGTTCCTTAAAAGAATCCTAATTAATAAATGTAAAAGAAAACAGGCAACTACCATGTTAACAACAATTGTAGACAAAATGCTTAAGTGGGCGAAAATCTGAGGAAAGCTTGCGTAGTCTCAAAGTATCTCTGAGGTATTTAGCAATAACAAAGGGAAAGATAGTAACTTTACAGTGGAGAAACCTGGTAGAAAGCACCTACCCAGACAATGAAGGTCATCATTGCCTGTAATAAGACATATCAAAATTATYCTATCATTTCTGTGATATTCTTGCCCAAATCCACAACCTTATTCTGATCATGAGAAGACATCAGACAAGTTCACAACTAATTGGTACAGTGATACTCTGGACTCTTGTGAGCCACTGGACAAGACAGACAGGGGCAGGCTATTGTCCTCCAGCTGGTGCAGGGCTGAAAATGAAAATTACTTTCTTAGATGGTGCCACTTAGGCACAGGATCAGCTTGAAAACAGGATATAGCATAGAGCAAGGCCCCCATGGGAGCTGACTAGGAGCTCACAGTGAATTGATTTTAAGTAGCTGCAGCTGTGATTATTTTTAGTCACAGGACTCAACCAGCTTTCAAAACCTGCTAACAAGAACWCCACTATAGCCAGCAAATAAAACCAGCACAAAAATTTAGCTTTTAACTTAATTCAACACCACGACTCTGTTCAGCTACAAGGAGCCAGCTGAGAAGACACAGAGAAAAAGACATTTTCTACTGCAAACTTAGATAATTTTTCCATTTTCTAGCTGAATCATGACCATGAAAGATGACCACTGATGAATACCTAACAGCATAATGGAATAAACAGCATCACTTTTAAAAATGAAACGCCAAAGTTAACCTGACTTCTGTTGCCTCTCAGTCAGTATGGTGTACGTATTTTGGACAAATCATTTCAACCCCTCACCCCAACCTTTAAAGATAAATGGGGCCTAAGATTGAAGTGCTAACAATATCCATTCCCTCAACACACTTGGGATATTTTCTGTGAATAGTTATTGGAGCTAGAATGGATTTCATTGGTTTGCATCAATGAACAGCCATATCAGAACAGCCAAGCTAATGCAAAGGAGGGACCAGCTGGCTGGCTGCTTCCTAAGCCTCTAGTGAGTCCTGGGACAGTTTTCCTGACCATGTCTCAAGGTAAGGCAAAGGGACCTGCAGGTGAAAAAGATCCTATGAAAGTAAGGCAAATGAAAGAGCTTTTGAGGAAGGGGATGCCTGGTGGCAAAGTCAGCGCCTTATTGTTCCCCAGGCAAACATGACAGAGTCTAGATGTACAKTAAGAGCCAGTCCATCTTTACTGGAGTGAGTTTAGGAGACAAATAGTTTACAACAACCTCTATCAATGTCTTAACCATTTGATAAAAAGTTCACTATAATATTTATTGTATAATGAAGAAAAACAACACATTCAGGGAAATTGAGATTAACTTATTTTTCTTAAAAGGTTCATCTCAAGGATGGCAACAAAGTCCAGCTTGTGCCGCCAAACGGTTTTACATGATCAAACCGTGTACAGCTTCTTGTGTGAACTGTTGACTACAAACATTTACCAAATACATAAATCTCTTTTAAAAAAGCCATTTTAAATATAGCAAAGCAGTGTCTTCTTGCACAGCAAAGTGAAGAGTTTCTACAGAGAAATAAAAGTTTTACATTTGTAAAATCTTTTTCACATTCTAATCATCTAGCTTTTTATGATCCAATGCCAGGAGTTTTCAGGTTCCTTATTTACTATGTATTTCTTGTGCGCATGATGGTTAATACAGAAATTATGTTAATGCATTATTAATTGTCCTTACAGTTAAAATGGCAAAATATGTATTGTTCTTTTAGAACAAACCCCTGATTTAGTCTATAACACAATGGACATAATTAGGGCTCAAAAGATGGAGTTTTGGTTGGGACCATCTGTGTAAATACAATGGTGACTTTCAGTCTCAGTGCAGTACCAGTTAGAGTACTGAAGGAAGTACAGCTGTTGGGAACTTCCTTTAACCAGTGCAATTTAAGCTTTTTTTGTTTTTGTTTTTTAGTAATAAAATATGTCTTCTGAAGGGACAAAATCGTCCTGTGACAGTGTCTTATACAAAACACGTGAGTCTAAAAGGGTAAGAAAAGTTGGTTTCAAAACAACACCATTAGTGTCTTCCCCACTCTAGTTGTTTTCTGCCAAGAGATGTGGATGTGATGTGTTCACACATGGGTGTCTGGGTGAGGCATGTCTGTTAAGTCCATATGCTCCATATCACACTGGGCGTATGGGAAAAATATTAACAGTCAAATATTCAGTTCCTGAAAACAGAATACATTGTTACTTGGTCAATGTAATTTAAATACAAACTCCGAGCCTTGTGTAATATTATTTTAGAAAACAGTAGTTGTACTGATTATAAACCTGCATAGAAAGAAAGACTATTGAGATACAGTCAGAAAAGCCATCTCATAAGGCACACAAGAAAATAGACAGTAAATGTGAATGTGTTAACTCCTATTCCAATATACAGCAGAAGTTCATGAACATGCATAAATAATAACAAAAGGATCACTTAACACTTTCAAAGCTATAAATGGTTTACAAAGTGGTAAGGATTATCTTGGAAATTCAGTATTGGGGGACTGTCTTGTTTCTATCAGGTATAACCTTATGAAGAAATGTGCCTGTATGTAGTTCGGTAAATTAAGTACACTTTAAAAGAAAAACTAATCCTTTCTGAATAAGAGCCAAATGCCTAACTGAAATGAAAAGAGGAGACAGCACATCATCCTCCCTTTTTGGCTTCTACCAAAATTTACTACCAAACTGCCATTAAAGTAGAATCTCCATTCCTCGGCCTGTGAATGACAATGCCAYGGGCTTATCCTGTACCTAATACATATGTGTCAGTCAGGAAATCTGGCTGATGATTTGTCACAAATAGCTGACGAGGGAAATGTCAAAAGGAACTTAATTGGGGGGAAAAACAAAATATAAGTAAAAATTRTAGGTAGCTGCTCAGTATTAAAATATAAAATAGCAGCGATTTAAAAACCCTTCTGTTGAGTTTCTCAGAACAAGGAGTATCTAAAAATTTATAATAAAAGATATACAGGACTTTGAATTTTGTTCATGGCACGAGCCCAGTAAACGGATGAACTTGCTATCACTAATGAGTTGTCTTCTTGTAAGAATAAGGCCTTGTTGAAAATTCAAGCTGAGGGTGGCACTAATTTCAATCAGGACAGCAAGAGTCATGCCAAGGATCTGCACCATAARAGAACTCCTCCCCCACACCAGAGTGTCATTTCAATGCACAGAACAGTTGATAATGGTAGTATATTTTGTAACTAGCTGCATCATTCTATTTTTAGAGGGTCAAGGAAAAAAGATCCCTTTCCTCACAAATATTTTTCTCTAATCATTTACCACTTATAAAACCTCTGTGCTCATCTACTATTTTGCCATTTTCTCTAATATTAGTTAAATTAGGTCATCTTGTCTACTGTACTTTTTTCCTCACAAAAGGCAAGTTTTAAATAATGCCTTATAAAATCTGTTACAGCACATTTTATATTTATGCAGGATGAACTTAACACCTTTTTTTTGCCACTTTGCTATTTATATACACATATAAAATATATAATGATGCTCACCCCATACAGCACAAAGATTACAATGTAACATCACACATTCACCACCAGTGAGGGGATAAACCCCTTTATACAATCCTCTGAAAAAACTGGGCTAATAATTAAAATCCAAAGTACAGTATATTTAACAAAATAGTAAATATTAAACAGTGAATACTCTACTTAATAAGGACTTCGCCTTTCCCCCCCAAATTGGCGGCAATCCACAAAAATATACTTTTTTAATCTGGTGACCATACAATACATAGGTACTTACATCAAATGTGATAATATATTTAAGATGCTATATACACAAAGAGTTTGGCTCAACTTTTAATTTACATATAGATAATAAGTGTTCATGGCTTTTTTTTTCCAAGGTTCTGCTTGCAAGATATTTTTGTTTGTTTTTTTCCCCTCTTAAAATAAATCTAAAAAGTTAAAATAAGATAAAGCTATTTTCTAAAAACAAACAAACAAAAAAGAACAAAAAAGAAAGTTACAACATACAGCTTTGGCTTATATAAATAATTCATAGCAGAATGTGTTCAAAAGTAGTGAATATAATTTTATATATAGTCATCAATTCATAAGGGTGTTTTCTTTCATATAAAATATACATGAGCTAAAATCAGTTTATTTTTAAAGATATGAATGTAAAAAGAAACTTCTGATGTATTCCAATTATAACTTAATATATTAATTTTATTTTGTTAATGTTCTATATTTCTAGGCTAGTATTTTCTGAATATCTCATGCGTATTTTCTACCCTCTCTTTTTTATTACCTAAAGATCACTTCTTTGACCCGATACATTTTTGCACGTGCAAAACAGTTATGTGTGGGGGCTTTTTTGTGTTTTTTTTTGTTTGTTTTTTAATATCAACAGCCCTTTCCCATGCACCCATTTGCAACAGAGACCCATGCCARGTTGGGTAATTAATATAAATGGCATTTTATGTACAGTATTGCTTTCTTGGTTCCTGCTTTTCTACTGCTCTGTTCTACAAAGCATTTTTTTCTGAAGTAACTACAGTCACCGCACAGTTAAATAAAACAAGTAGGGGGCCCTCTAGGTTTCTGCAAGCTAGTGTGGGAGAATTATATATGGGTACACATTTCTTTGCAAAAACTGGTTATCTTACGAAACAAGTAGTCCAAGGAAATGCCAGACTGGTCTGTGCCTACAGGGTGCTTTGTCTGCCATGGGACACACATTTGCAGACCTACAAGAGTTTGCAGGTTAAGTGCCTGATTCTGTGTATGCAACACACACCCACACATACACACACTCACACCCACATACATATATATGCAAAGGAATATATATGTATGTATGTACATATAAATATATTTAACTCATGTCCTTATTTACCAATTTAGATATGTAGGGCAGTTCACTGCAGTAACACAAAGTACAAGCATGAGCCTGGAAGCCTTAGGTCACCCAAGCATCCATTCTCATGCGCTTTACAGAAGGGCTTTCTCTGTCCTCAGTGTTTGGGGGTCGGCCAAGCACAATTGGAGAATGGAAGTCACCCCGTGGATCTTCTCGGTCACTGCCATCATAAGAGCTGCTTGAGCTGCTCAGACTGTCCACAGGGGAGCGCCCCATTTCCTGCCGGGGCTGGGGCTGTGGGGGTTGTGGTGGCTGCTGCTGTGGTGGCTGCTGCTGCTGGAAGCCTGATGGGGTCATTCGGTCCCGGGGAGGTGAAATCGGTTCTGATTTAATGTTGATGTTTTGGTTGGTATTAATGGATAAATTTGAACCCTGAGTTAACTGCCCTCCAGCACTGAGGGGAAAAAAAAAAAAAAAGAGAAGTGAGATGGTTTGTGAGTGTATCAGCATAACTTACAAAATGATACTGAAGACAATGACTGAATGAAACAACCCAAGGTCTGAAATCCTGTCAGAATTCCCCAAGGCTGGTTTTGCTCATCTCCTTTAGTATATGGTACARAAAGAAATCACCTCTCTCCAGGAAGAAAGAAATAGTACATTGGGTTCTTAACATTTCTCACTTCTACTATCTACCACTGTGGTATTTTTGCAGCTGAAGTTTGCAAAACAATTTCAGTGTCTAATGTTGTGTGTGGTCCAAAAAGAGGAAAATGGCACACTAAATTCTATTCGATGCCTCCTTGGTATCTTTTCTACTCTGGCCCTGTGATAGCACAACATCTCATCTCTTCCACAACTCTGAGATATAAATCATATCATTTTTATTTTCCAGAAAAGAAAACAGTCTTAGAAAGGCTGATGAACTCACTCAGATTGGTACAAGAGGRTGTATAGAGACTTTTCCTCACATCTGTGTTTCTTTTCTATTTGCTTTTTATTTTATTTTATTTTTTATTTTTTGCTTTTTTTTTGTTTGATTTTTGTTTTTTGAGATGGTGTCTTTCTGTGTTGCCCAGGCTGGCCCCAAACCCCTGGGCTCAAGTAATCCTCCTGCCTCATCTTCCTTTGTAGTTAGGACTAAAGGTATGTACTGCCACACCCAGCTTCAGGGCTGTTTTTAGTGTTTTAGTTTAGGATTAGGTCTGAGGGCCAGTTGTGGAGGGGAAAAAAAATTCCCTAAGATACTCCACTCCTTTTCCTGTGATTTGGTTCTCAAGATGATTACTGATAACAATATGTTTGTGGACTTCTTTCGGATCTCAAGAGGAATGGGTTTCCTGGGCTCAGGTCCTCTGGGCACTTTCTGAAAGGAGGTTAGTAGGCTAGGGTATGTATAGTCTCTACTGCTCTGAACAGGTGTGAGGTAGCCAACAGGGTCTACTGTTCTCCTCCACCTGCTTAATGGGCGTACTTGTCATGCTAACTCTACCAAGCCCTGTTCCTTCTMCCTACTACTCAAGGAGTCTCATCTCTTCTGGGCATGAGACTGATGCTTCTTCACATTTATCTTCACACTCAGTTCATAAGAAATGTTCTCTTTGTGAATGAGGTAGGGTATGTACATTGGGAGATCACTCACACATAAATCCTATGGAGTCTAATGCATATACRGGCTACCCAGCCCTGTTTTTCTTCCCCCAAGATTCAGGAAGAAAGCAAAAGACACAACTCATCTTCCTTTTCTCCAGCCATCAAAGCAAAAAGAGGGAAAGGAATGATGTAAGCTCAAATGCTTTCAAGCTGCCTTCCTTAAGCAGTGGAATCAGAGGCAGATGTTGGGAAGCAGGATGGGAGTAGGCAGCTGACTCATCAATCAGCAGGTAGAAAGGGGTACATGTGGTGGCATCTGTGCCTTGAAATCCCCTTGGGTACCAGCTGATTTACCTCAGAGTGTCTGAAAGGAAAGGCCTTGCTCCCTGAATCCTTTCAAGGAATGCCTGTGCTTTGCTTCATATCCAAGCTATTGTCTAGAGCATGTTAAGAAAATATTTTCTCCCAACATTTCTGTCCACGTAAAAAAAGAACCACTGTAGGATTATTCACAAGAGAGTCTACAGAGTAAAAGACTTTAACTGACACAAAAAGAGTGTTTGCAGGCCAGGCGTAAAAGTTCAGGGAAGATTTCTAGTACTCACACAAGAGAGCTGAGGGCTGCTTGTCCTAGATGGTGCTGCTGCCAGGCTGACACCTGCCCCAAAGACAGCATTCCAGGGGAGTTGAAACCTTGCAGGGCTGACAGATCTGCGCTGGTCAGTGAGTAATCTATAAAGGAAGACAAGATTGCTATGCTGGACTATTCCTATATAACTGTTATTTAAAATAAATATACCTGCCACTACCCTTTGGAACAAAGAGAAACTCTGAGCTCTCCCATATTGAATCTGGATCAGCAATTCTTGATGAAGGACAAAGAACAGGAAAGACATAGAATCCCTGCTCATGGTTGTCAAGCTTAGTGTCACAGACATTAAATGCATCATCATATAATTAGTGCTTTTGTACCAGGAATGTCACAGTTCCCTCACTACATGCAAAATCATCTCAAATTCATAAAAAAACCCAACTTTTCTTGTTACAAGAATATAATATATAGCTCATTTTATATGAATGTTTCCATCATAATTACTGTGACCAAAACTTAGGACATGAGTTATTACTCACATGAAGAGTTATTTCAGTCCATTATAAACACTTGTTTTTTCCATTTGGTTCTACAGAGCGGTAGCAAACACTTCTACTTTTAACTTCTTTCTCATGTCTCAAGAGAGGGATTTTTAAAAGTTGGTCTTTCTAGTGAATTAACATTTTTTAAAAAGGAATTGAGCTGAGGTGCTCAGGTTTATGGTAGAACCAATACTTGTTCTATATGCTCTAAGACTGTCTCAGCCATCCCCACAGAGGCTGCAGGGAAGGGAGCTTGGCACACTGATGCCTGCCCCAGTGACCCTCTAGTCCACAGTTCTCTTTTGAACTGCCAGCCCTTCCAATGACCCACTTGACTTGTCTTCTTGGATGCTTCTTCAAACACCTCAAATTTGACATGGCTCAAGTTTTTCTCTAATACCTTCTCTTTCTTCTATGCTCCATACCTTGTTAAATGGCACTAATATACACCTAGAGGTTTATGCCGGAAACCTGCGGGTGTTATCCTTGCTGCTTCTCTTCTCTCTTTGTTTGTGGTGCTGAGGATCGAACCCGGGCCCGCACGCATGCCAGGCAAGTGCGCTACCGCTTGAGCCACATCCCCAGGCCCCTTCTCTTCTCTCTTAAACCCACCATCAACCATCAAGTCTGGTCAATTGCTATCTACTGTATCTAGGCCTGTCCAGATTTCACTGTCTTTACTGTCACCACTCTAGTCCAAATCCCCAGTAACCATTCCTGGGTCACTCTACTAGTCTTTTGTTTTTTTTGGTATGTGGTGCTGAGGATCGAACCCGGGCCGCACGCACGCTAGGCGAGCGCGCTACCGCTTGAGCCACATCCCCAGCCCTCACTCTACTAGTCTTGTGTGGTTACCTGGCATTCATTTTGCCACGATGGACACTGTAGACAAAGTGATTTTTTTAAAACAACAAATGTGATCATGACATGCCTTTTACTTAAAAAATTTTATGGGCTGGGGATGTGGCTCAAGCGGTAGCACGCTCGCCTGGCATGCGTGCGGCCCGGGTTCGATCCTCAGCACCACATACAAACAAAGATGTTGTGTCCGCCAATAACTAAAAAAAAAATAAATATTAAAAAAAATTCTCTCTCTCTCTCTCTCTCTCTCTAAAAAAAAAAATTATGGTTTCCCAACACTCATTAAGACAATGTCCAAAACCTACAACATAGCCAACAAATCCCTACTTACCCCTCTAGGCTCTACTCTTGTCAGCTAGCCCTCTACTCCCTTCTCCTGAGATCATTCTCCTTGGCCTGCTTGGCTGAGTCCTGCATACTTTTTCATGTTCTAGTTAAAACGTGGCCACTCACACAACTAGAACAGATCTTTCCTAGAGCTACTTGCCTTGTGTCTTTCTATGCTGACAGACTCTAAATTCCATAGTTGACTCTGGTATTTTCAGTACCTGGCAAAGTATATACTACATAACAAACAATAAGTACCCACAGAGTGTTTGCAAAGTGTAAGTCTTGAAGCTGGGAGTGATATTATTGATGGGTATGAGGATGTCTCTGTAGAATTCCTTTGCACAGAACTGTTTTTGCATTTATTTCAAAAAATTGCTCATTTATTTATCCCTTAACCTACTGTATGACTTGGGTTTGACACTAAATATGTATAAAAAGATACAAGATAGAATAAACAAGATAAAATATGGATAAGTGTTTAAAAAGGCAAATAGATATATAAGTTAAAGATAATACAGTAATGTTAGGATAATTATTCTGAGAAAGAGAGCAAAGATAAAGTCAGTCAAAAGATGGAATGAGACTAAAGCAGAGTGACAGATGGTTTTAAGGAGAAATGACTCATTTTTATACACTGTTAATCCCTGTGAGACTTTAGAGTGTGTGTGTATGTGTRAATATATATTCAATATTTAAGAATATTTATTATATGTAAAATATATATGTATATGAATTCTTTCTAACTTATTGGCATTTCTAAAAATAAGTACAGTGGAATCTCTAAGTATACTAAAAAACCTGTAATGAAATGCTCAATAAACTGCAATCTAACTTTGACACCCAGTCCCAGTCCAAGTTTCACCTTCTCAGCTAACACTCCCCTGGGCATCTAGCCTCTTGAGCTCTCTCTTCCTGTATCTTCTCAACCCTGGAGTATTAACTAGAAACCACAAAAACTCGGGACTTCCCCTTCATGGYTATCAGCTTAGGTTGTCCCCTTTCCTTATCTAGAATAAACTTGAGAGAGAAGATATAGAATTTGTCACATGGCATCTCTCAAATAACAAGTGATTAATGTAATGAAACATAATTTCTATGAATGCTCAATCCCTGGCTTTAATCTGGAACCTGTTCTGTGCAAGACATAAATAATTTGCTATAATTTACAGACACTAGGTTGGTTTTTAGTTGATAGATTTCCTTCCACCCCCCCACCCCATACTGACTGTTGAAAGGTAATGGACATTTCTACAAAGCTTTTTAACAAAACCTCTAAAAGATGTTTATTTTAATAAAACTAGTACTGCAAATTAAAGCAGCATTTAAATGTATCAATTGTTCTGCCTCCAGACAGCAGGATGAAAGCAGGGCACCAAAGTGTTTTACCCTGAAGTCTAAAATTAGATGATCTTTAACACAGTCTACTTACGAAAATCATAAAAGAATAACTTTCATGCATTGCAGTCTCTGGATAAGGGGGCAAGATGTAATTTACTGCCTGCCTTCCTTCTAAACAACAGGTGTTTGGCTCAGCTGGGGAGAAAGTAACACTACATGCACTTTCTCCCCTCCTTAAAATAGCAAATCTTAATGAAACCTGCTGCAGACCAGGTTTTCCATATAGCTTGTCTGGCTAAAAGCACCCTTCCCATCACTGTGATATTCTTGAACTTTTCTAACAGACTCCCAAATTAGGGTATTTTAAGATGGAAATGTCCAAATAAACACAAATGAGTGAAAAGCTCCTCTCAGTAGCTRTGAGGAGAAATGATAAATGACCTTGTTTTGCCCCTTAGGCACAAATGACACAGACCAAACTAGTGGTTACAGGCTTGCAGGCCACAGCTAAGCACCTGCCACATCCCCAAGGGATTGATGGTCTTCCCAAAGCAGTTTAACAGCATGAAGGCAAACATCTAATTTTAAAAGCCTGGAAGCGAGAGATTCTGTAGCAAAAAACTATATAAAAAAATATCTAGGCAACAGGTGGCTATTACCTGCTCCTTGGCTGGATGCTTACCACATTTTCATAATAGCTCTTTGTTTGTTTGTTTGTTTGTTTGTTTGTCAGAGGCAAGTAAAAATTCACATTGGAGAAATAAAATAATTTATTCAGCTCATTTTACTATCAATGTATTTTCTGTGACTTTTTCAAGACTAGCATTTTTAAAACAATATCAAAATCTGAATCTAAAAAAGCAGGGATAAATTTATTTCAGCAAATATACTTTTTAAAAAATCACAAGCACACGTGGATCACAAAACAAAGAAATAAAAGCAAAGAAAAGGCACAGAAACTCACCAGTGTTGTAGGCTGTTGGCATTGCTGAGTACACAAGTCCCTGTGGAGGCAAGCTTGGGGTTGTCACAGACACSACTGGGGTAGCAAGAGGTTGAGTGGCTTGAGAACTGCTTATCCTCTGGGTATTCTGTGAGAGATGAGAAAAATAAAAAGTGTTATTATGTGGTATTTATGTTCATACTTCATATTTTAAAAATAACTTTCAATTTAAATGTGACACTTTTCACAGTTTTATCTGAATGTTATTTTCTAAAGCAGTGATGATATGAAAACCTTAAGGATACTAATGGGAGTAACTATATATTTAATTTTAAATGACCTATTTTTACATTAATTATTCACCTTCTCTCTCCAGTTTATTAATGCCAGAGGCATATCCTTAAAATARAAACTTACCTTATGGGTGATAACACATTAATATGTTAGCATAATGAGAACCTGATGTCATTACAGACACTGTCAGGGTACCCAAAGTGAAATGTGTTGATTTTAAGCAGCTGATGATAGCAAAAGTCATTTGTATATTAAAAATTATAAGTTCATGAGTACAGGGATCAAAAATACTTTTCTTTGTAGCATTTACATTTGATGTATGGTTTGAAGACATGGCTTTCTAAGTGCATCTTTCCTTCCAACTGATCCTGCAGATGACCTATTTTTTAACAGCAGATTCAGATATTTATCTCTTCAGTTTGCTAAAAGGAGATGCTCTGAGTAGAAAGTTTTTAAAGAACTGCTAAAAGGGTTGTGAATGGAGCAATATTAAATGATTGCTGACTGCTTCTACATAGTATTTTATCTACATTGGGAATGAACAAAAAAATTAACTATTAAATAATCAAGTTAGTTTAAGGTTATTGTCCTCTATGGGTAGGAGTATGATAGCATTAGCTTCTCCCCACTGTGACTTAAAGTAATATTTTTCTGAAATCAAGGATGAGAGGAACAGAATTTAGACTCCACATTGTTACTATGCGGGAGGCCAAAGCACAACTTCAACTTATGTTTTTTATAAATGAAGTTATAATATGGCATTTGTTATTTAGGGTCTAAACCATACCAGCAAAAGTATAATTCAGTGTCTTTAGATTCTAAAGGATCAGAATGTTATTTGGTTTTGTCTATCACTATTTTCAGAAAGACACATAAGTTGCAGGCCTTTGGMTAAATCTAGGTATGTGAAAAAATGATCATTTGATAAAGCTCTAGATCTCAGTTAATCTCTTTTTAGTTCATAGTTTTTATCCTAAGTTAGAAGATATCAGGATGGCCACACTGTGTGTGGATGTACTGTCTGAGTGTTGGTCCTACATTTACCACATCGTAAGACTGGATTAATCATTTAACTACTTTGAACCTCTAACTTTGTCACACAGGAATAAAGCAATCTTTGTCCGACTTTTGCCTTGCAAATGCTATTGTGACAATCAAATGAAGCAATGTTAAAAGTGCTTTGGGAACTGAAGTACTACAGACATGTTAGACAGTATCTTTAAATTATCCCAGAAATCCCCTATAATCAATCTTCTACACAGTGTTGATCTTAAAAAAAGGACAAATATATTTATTTCTCCCGTCCAGCCATTCTACTAGAGCTGTTATGAGGTAAAGCTGTTCTAGAATTGCAAGGCTTCTAAAGGACCTCTGTAGCCTGGTTCTCACCAGCTAAAGTCCTTAGTACAGGTCCCAGAGTCAAAGTCACCCATGATAATATTATAGAGCTCAAACCAATTTGAACAACTTTCTAATTCTAACAGAYTGTATTTCTGACTGTTTTGACTTTGACATATAAAACTCTAAATTTTGAATTAAGTTTTAAGAGTCTGAATTTGCTTAAGTTTTAAAGAACATGAATGGCTATTGACATTTTTTGGTCATGTCTTTTTGACTTACATTTCATTATTTCTATATTTTAAAGCCTTTGGAAGTTCATCTCTGAGATTCTGTAATTATATGTGCACTTATTTAAGGAAGGTGGAAAGTTAATGTATGACAATCGGGAATATATTTTAGTCTTGGCATCAAATTAGTATTTTAGGTTTTTGAGACAGGGACATTCTTTGGACTTAATTTGTTCTCTAATATTTGGTCTGTAAGCCAAATGAGAYGAAAGAATACAGTATGAGGGGTATGGTATGGGCTACCTCATCACTCTATGGTTTCACCTCTATGGCAATCTCCTGGCATGATTTCAAAGGCAGGGGATAACAATAACCTTGCCATATATTGTTTCTATCCATCAAAGCTCTTTATCTCAATGGGATTTGATTCTGAGTAAATGACTTTCACAACCACTAGAGGGCAACATAGTGCTAGATAATTCATGGAAGCATTTAGGACACTGTCATAAGTGTAAACAGGTCTAATTTAAGATGAATTATTTATGTTTGAATTATAACTTTTACTTGCTAATAAGTATTAAATCAATAAGTATTTCACCAAAAGATATTCATAATATAACCTAACAWCACATTCACAACAAACTTGGGTTTCACTTAACGGACACAAAAACAAATCCAAACTGAGTGATCACAATGCTAAATAAAGAACGATCTCATTTTAAGGACTGAGCATAGACAACCTTATTTAAAAAGAAAACAAACTGCAAAACACAAGAGCATGCTTAAACATGTAATAACAAATGCAAAMAAAACCAAATGATGCCTTTACCCCATGCTCTCATGCAGTCTTAACCCCTATCCATGCTAAGAATTGAACACTTTCAAGTTTTTATTTCCCTTTAATCAGAGACAACTAATCAGCAGCTGACTTTGAATGCATATGATTACTTCTGTGTAGTTTGGGATTTAGGTCCCAAAGAAGAAACAAATCAACTGCAAGTTATTTTTATTTAAGTTTATTATCTAGAGGAAAAGCCAAGATAAAACGTTTGTTTTTTTTGGGGGGGTGGGGGGTAAGATAATAGCCGCTTTTAAAAATAGAGTATCTTCTGATAGAAAAGTAAATTTGTGTATGTTCAATTACAGATATTCCTTTTAGTAAACAGGGAACCCCCTTGTGGTTCAGATCCTCTCACGCAGGATGAAATAATTCCAACTCTGAAAAAGGTGACCTCACCAAAAATGATGTAATCTTTTTGAAAGAAAGAGAAATAACACAAGACTGTGTGTTACAATCTGAGGAACTTTGAGGGTGAAGTCATTTTCTAAAAATATTTTTAATAATTTGGAGAGCTATATAAGGCATTTTGTATCTTTCCTTTAAAAATGTTTAACACTGTCCTGTGCTCATGGACAGCTGTTTTTTAAAAGCTCTATTCAATGTTCCCTCGAACCAATAAAATGAGTCAACATATACAATTTTCAATAGAAAAAAACAGAGTGTATAGTACTAGCAGATTGCTTTTGTGGTTCAAAGTGTTTGAATAGTGTTTTAATAAAAAGAAAAAATCTGTGTAACAAAGGAACATTGGTTAGATAAAAAACATTTAAGAGAATTAGTACTTTCTACATTTTTTTCAACTCCCTTCAAGCAGAAACCCGCACTCACCAACTCCAATTCCTCTTCCTCCGACTGTACTCGGCACATAAGAGGGATAAGAGAGTTAACTAAGACCAATGGCACTCAAAACAAAGAATTACTTTAGAAAAACACAGACACTAGAAGTTGTCTGTAATTCTCCAGAGATGATTACATATACAACAAATAGAAATACAAATTACTTGCTGTCTCTCTACTTGAGTTCATTTTTCAAAAGACTAGAAAATTCTTTTAAATTCTCTAGGGCCCGGATTTAAAGCACCCCCACCCCACTGCCATCTCAGTCTGCTCTTATGTTGGCCTCTCTTACAAATGACCACACTCCTGTGACATTTAAAAAGGTTGCTAATTGTGACAGCAGTCTACATTTGGAACTCTAAAGAATATACTTACATCTGAATCCTCCTATTACTACCCCACCTGGTCACACATGTCTATCTATCTCCTGCTAGATTCTGTGCTCCCTGGTAGGCAGAAATTATGGTGTGCTTTACTTTCCATAGTAGCTAACATGATGTTATGAAACAACAGGAACTCAAATATTTGTTAATAAATTTAACAGATTTTTATGCTTATTATTTGCAAATAATAGTGTACATGTGAACAAAATAATTGTAGTGGAGAAAAACTCTGTGTGTGTGTGTGTGTGTGTGTGTGTGTGTGTGTGTATGAAAATCAGGCTGGAGAAGAAATGAACTGATATAAGCTATGAATAGGAATGAAACATTTGTTCCTTTTCTTCTAAACATTTATAAAATATTAATATGCTTGAAGCAGTTTACTCATTATTTTCTTCTCATTTTACTTGAATTGTTAACCAATTCTCTCTCAATCTGTAAAAATGTGTCCTTGGGCATTACTAATACATGAAGCCCTAATCTTGAAGCAGGTTTCTCTGCAAATGAATGGGATGAAATAGGAAAGAGGCTGATTATTTACTCTGCAAAACAATCATGTGGCCTGTAATTACTATTTCAAATGTGAGTAAAATACTTTTCAGCTACTTTGTCATACATAATCATTATGCATCTCCAACTACAAGATACAGATCAAAACACTATCAAACACTATGGCTGTGTGTGTGTGTGTGTGTGTGTGTGTGTGTGTGTGTGTGTGTGTAAAATATGTAGTTTTCACTTTAACCTTCAGGGATAAAAGGGTAAATAGTTTTGTGGCAAGTTTTGTAGTTCTCTGTAGAAATGCTTCATAATTTCTTTTTCACTGAAACAGCTACTGTGGCACATGCCTATAATCCCAGAGCTCAGAAGGCTGAGGCAAGAGGATCACAAGTTCAAAGCCAGCCTCAGCAACTTAGTGAGGCACTAAGCAGCTTAGAGAGATGCTGTCTCAAAATAAAAAATAAACAAGCTGCGGATGTGGCTCAGTGATTAAGTGCCTCTGAGTTTAATGCCTGACAGGGAAAAATAACAAACAAAACCCAGAAATAATTTTATTAAGCAGTTTCTCAAAGTCTAAATGTAGTTTCATCTTTAAACTTTTCAGTTTACTAATAATTCTTGTATTACACATTTCTGTGCCTTAAGTGAAACCTTTTTTAAAATTTTGTATTTCTGAAAGATAGTAAGTAGTAGGTACTGCATGACCAGTTTCTTCTGAAAGGTGAGCCAAATGGCCATCCTAAATGCCATTCCTTGCCCCCAGTGGCTCCTTTTGTGGACATATTTATTTGTTATGTCTATATGTATGTTGAATATTTTATTCTAAAATAATTTTAGAATTAGGGAGCAAAGAGAGTTCCCTTCAGACACCTCACTCAACATCTTCCAAGGTTAATATTCCAAAGAAAYACAATGCAATTGTTGAAACTAATGTTAAAAAGACAGCACTATTTAAAGCTTTGAATTTTACTTGTATTTCACCTTTTTTTTTTTTTTTACCTATGACCTTTTTCTGACCCAGGATCAGACCTTGGATCCCACATGCTTTTAGTTATCATGTATTCTTAGTCTCARTCTGTTCTGTAATAGTTCCTTAGTATTTCCTTGTTATTTTCCATGACCTTGAACTTCTGGAGAATACTATTCAGTTATCTTGTAGAATGTCTCTGAACAAGGTTTGTCTTATACTTATTCATTGTTAGAAGATACAGACTAATAGAAGAATACCACTGAGATATATGACCTTCTTATTCTTAGCACACTATACTGGAAAGCATGTGTCTTTTTGTCTCATTACCAGTGAAGTTAGTATTGATCCTCTACTTAACATGGTAGCTTCTTTCAGGATTCTCCAGTATTAAATCACTATTTTTCCTTTGTAAGAAACAAATATTTATTGGGGAAGAGACATTTTGAAGCCATGTAAATACTGTGTTTCATCTTAACTTCTGCCCACTAATTGCAGCTCTTATTGACTGGCCTTGCCTGAAACAATTATCATTGCACTGTGATGTTGTAAAAGTGATTTATTATTTGTCTTATTCTTTCTACTTATACTAATTTCTCTCTAAGGAAGAGTTGTCACTTCACTATTTATTTATTCAATCATTCACTTWTATCAATAATGAACTCAATATTTGTCATCCCTTGGAATATAAATACATAGATGACTCGTAATTTTGTAATTTGTTATTCTGTTACTCAAGTGTTCTAGTTTTGAGGCTTTGGGAGTTCTTTTGGGAAGGTGTCTCCTGTGACACCGCCCCTCTTTTTTTTTTTTGTGGTGCTGGGGGTTGAACCCAGGGCCTTGTGTATAAGAGGCAAGCATTCTATCTCTAGCCCTCCTGTGACCTTTTGACATGCACTTATTCTTTAGTGCCTTTTGCTCATCTTGTAGTTCACATACCAGGTCTACCAATCAACTACTTCTTTAAGGAGGCCTGGTTCCCTGAATTAAAGAAATGGTGTTTAGAAAGTAAAATCTGAGTGCTAGTTATACTTATTTACTGGGTGCCATATTTCAAGGACTTCTCAGTAGACAGAACTAGAAAATATATGATACATATTAATGTGTATGTATGTAACATCTGTATTTCTATATCTATCTATGTTTAAAAAGGTAAGCTCATACTGAAACTTTCAACTACACCCCAGAAAGAGGGTTTATTTCTCACTTCCTCAACCCTTACCCCTCTTGCTTATATGTAACTTTTTGTCCAGTCAGAGAAACCTGATTCCACATATCTGCTATATTCACTATCTGTGTGTGTCTCAGATTTACTTTCTACTATGATTTACTACAATGTTTTTGTTCTCTATCCTTACAGTATCCAATCAAAACAGTTTCCAAAGTTACTTAAACCAGCTTTCTTCCTCAGTTCCTTTGTTATCACACAGTCATTAATTTGTAATATACTTATTTTCATGTGTCACAGTTTGCATTCCATTAGTCCTGATTTATTTGATTCCATTTGATAAAAATCACTCTTGTAATGTACAAGTTTTATGTTTTAACAAATGCAGACTCATAGCTAACACCACAATCTCATATAAAGTAGTTCCATCATCTCAAATATTCCATACTATTCCTTTGTAGTCAGCCTCTCTCACACTCCCAACCACTGAGCTGTTCTGCATTTTTTGGAATGAATGTAAGTGGAATCACACCCTAGGTATCCTTTTGGATCTGGCTTCTTTCAGTTAACAAAACTCATTTAAGATTTATCTATTGTTGTGCCTTCCTTTTTATTGCTGAGTAGTAGTCCTTTGTCTGGATGAAACCAAAGTGTGTATATCCACTCATCTGTTGAAGGAAATATGGGTTATTCTCAGTTTTTCTCAATTATGAAAAAATACAGGTTATTACATAAGCATAGTTTTAAGTTCACTTGGATTTACCTATGGAGTGGGATTGTTGGGTTATATAGCAAATATATATTTAACTTCATAAAGAACTACCAAATTCTTTTCCAAAGTGGTTCTATCATTTTGCACTCCAAGAAGGAATTTAGGAGAGTTCTTATCACTCTGCATTTMCAGCAGCATTTTTAGTTTTATAATTTTAGCCTTTCTAACAAGTGGTTTTAATTTTTGTTTCCCTAATGGTATTAAGCACATGTTTATTTGCCATCTATATACCTTCTTTTGAAATATCTGTTAAGATTTTGTTGATGGGGGTGTAGCTTAGTGGTACTGAGCTTGCTTAGCATGCACAAGTCTGGGTTTGATCACCAGCACTGTGGAAAAAGAGATCTTGTGCCCATTTAAAAAACTGGGTTGTATATTTTCCATTGCTGAGTTTTAAGAGTGCATTATACACAAGCCCTTTATTTGGACATGTGATTTATAAATATTTTCTCTTAATTTGTAGGTTGTGCTTTTATTTTTTGAACAGTGCCATTCACAGAGCAAAACTTAAATTCTCACAAATTCTGATATATCCATTTTTTACTTTATGGATTATTCTTTTGCTGTTTATGGGTTTGTCCCATAATTTTTAGTTTCATGCATTAAATTTGGGTCAATGATCCATTTTGAATCCTTTTTTTTATAGGCATGTGCCAAGTTTTTTTTTCTTTGCATCTGGATATTGAAGTATTCCAATGCCATTAGCTGTAATGACTATTTTTTCTCCACCGAACTGTCTTACTATCTTTGCCATAAAACAGCTGAATGTATATTCATACAGGTCTCTACTGTCCACTTATCCATGTACCCAGTTTTTTGCCAACACTACACATTCTGAATTACTACAGCTTTACAGATGGTCTTAAAACCACGAAGTGTCTTATTTTCTTCTTTTTAAAAATTGTTTTGGCTGTTATGGTTCTGTTGCCTTTCCAAAAATATTTCAGAACTAGCTCACTGATTTCTAAAAATAAAAAAAAATTCTTGCGATCTTGATTGGGATTGTGTTTAATTAATAGACAATATGGGAAGAATTGACATCTTAACAATACTGAGTTTTCTAATCCATTAATATGATTTATTAATTTAGGTTGTGTTTTTTAGTTTTCAGACTGCATATATTTTGTTACATTTGTACTTACCCATTTCCTTCCCTTTTGGGGGAGTGGGGTGCTATTTTAAACTTTGAATTTCAATTTTTCACTGGTGATTTAAGAATACAATAGA